ATATATGTATGTATGTGTGTGTGTGTGTGTGTGTGTGTGTGTGTGTGTGTGTGTGTGTGTGTGTGTATTTTTTTATTTTTTTATATATGTAGTACTGCATATTGTTCAAAATATAGCAGTTTAATGTATTAGTCGCTCTAGGACTTCATTGTTTTTTTTTTGTTTTTGTTTGTTTGTTTGTTTTTACAATGGGAAAACATGACATTAAAACAATTATTTAATGTCCATTAGGCCAGCAAGCTGGAAAAAAAGAACTCTAAAAAGGAGCTTGTAACAGAACTTAATCATATTTATTTTTAGAGGAATAGAAGCACAGTAAGTATAATGGATTTTAGTACTTTATAACACAGACTCTAATAAAAAGCTTTCTGTAAATACAAAAAACAAGGGGACAAACAAAGGACTTCTATATTGTTAATAATGATGCAATTAATTATTAAAGCATTAACTCACTTTTGCCAGCAGGTTGCGTGCATGAAATGACCACAGCTGCCGGTGTGTGTTCCTACAGCCAGATCAGGGGGCATGAAGAGAGGGTAGTAGTCCACTGTTGAACAATAAATAGATTCATTAAAAAAAACTTTTTAAAAAGACAAAACATTTGCTCAATTTAATAAAGGAAAGACTCATTTTGCAACAAGACAAAAATTTTTTTTTTTTTTGAGATTTTGTGCTTTTTTCCACAGTGTTTTTTTTTTATAATCTGACATGCAGAAAACATGTTTTGTCTTTTGAAATTCTTATTGAGATTTCAATTACAATACATATTTTAAATGTTTAGATTTTTCAGAAGAATTTTTTCCTCCTTTACTGAACAATAAATATACACTTTAAGCAAGATTACAATATACAAATATCTACAAATATCCTTAAGGTTTGTAAAGAGAGATCTGTTCATGCATCATTTAATTTCAAAAACATATATGATTCTGAATGATTATCTGAATTATTGAGTGATAAAAAGCTCTGTAAAAACCTGAGAATTAATCAACAAGAACTTTTAACATGAAATTTCAGAAACGTTTTGTGCATATTGAATTAAATGATGCATCATTTGCATATTTAAACATAGCATTTGTGACAATGGACCACAAACCAGTTATAATGGCACTTAAAAAAAATGAGATTAAAAAATTTGAAAGTTTAATAAAAAGCTAGGGGCTGCACGGTGGCGCAGTGGGTAGCGCTGCCTCACAGCAAGAAGGTCATTGTTTAGAGCCCCGGCTGAGTCATTTGGCATTTCTGTGTGGAGGTTGCATGTTCTCCCCGTGTTTGCGTGGGTTTCCTCCAGATGCTACCACTACAGTACAAATAAATGCACTACAGGTGAATTGGGTAGGCTATGTTGTCCGTTGTGCATGTGTTTATGACCTGGTTTTCAAGGTTGGGGGTTGAGCGTTGGGCTAACGACCCACCTCGCAAAAATGAGATGTTACTAAACACATGGTGCGGCTAAATATCAACTTCGACATAAATGGCTCTGAGAGAAAGTAAGTAATTAATAAGCTTTCCAGCTTTTCATTTGTTAAGATAAGGACAATGTTTAGTTGAAATACAACTAATTAAAAATCTGAAATCTAAGCTTTTAACAAAATCGAAATATTGCAAAAAAGTTCTTAGAAATGCCACATTACCAATCAAAACTTACGTTTAGATAAATTTACAGTACATTATATTCTAATTATTTTGACAAATGAAAAAATATATCATCTTGACTCATTCAACACAATGCATTGTTGGCTCTTCCTACAAATGAAGAGTTCAGATGCATAATCCTCTAAATGTCTTCTGAAAATTACTTCTAAAATGACCTTTTTAATCAACACAGTGGCGCAGTAGGTAGTGCTGTCCCCTCACAGCAAGAAGGTCTTGGGTTCGAGCCTCGGCTGGGTCAGTTGGCATTTCTTTGTGGAGTTTGCATGTTCTCCTTGCGTTCGCGTGGGTTTCCTCTGGGTGCTCCGGTTTCCCCCACAGTCCAAAGGCATGCGGTACAGGTGAATTGGGTAGGCTAAATTGTCCAAAGTGTATGAGTGTGAAGGAGTGTGTGTGGATGTTTCTCAGAGATGGGTTGCGGCTGGATGGGCATCCGCTGCATAAAAAACGTGCTGGATAAGTTGGCAGTTCATTCCGCTGTGGCGACCCCAGATTAATAAAGGGACTAAGCCGAAAATAAAATGAATGAATGAATTAATGAATAAATGAATGAATGACCTTTATTCTCAGCCTCCTATGTTTATGTCCAATCATTTTGTATTAAAGAGAATGAAAAGGACATTTTCTTTCCCATTAAAGTGAAATTACTGAACCTACACATAGGAAACCAAAGAAAAAATGCTCATTCTGATACTCTTCTAATATATCTGTGCAACACATGGCTGTTTTTGTGGTCCAGGGTCATTTATACATGTAAACACTTTCTGCTTAGTATCATGTGACTAAATTCACTTCTGATGTAAAGTGTGCAGCGTGCTTTACCTTTGGGGGACAGGGTCTTTCCGCGGCTCTGCGTGAGAACTGTGGATCTCTGCACACATGCGGTGAGCACCATAGCTGGAGCCTGAGCCTGAACCTCCTGCTCCTCCTGGCACAAAATACAGGTAAGAGTCTCCCAGTCCAGGGACCAAACACCCTGCTGAGGCCCTACAGCCACTCGATTCTTATCCACATCCATCACAAAGCTGCACACACACACAACAAAAACACACAGACATTCAATACACAATTAAATAACCGCTAATGCATAAATAAATTGAATGTGCATTTTATTAAAGACAGAGTGATGACCTTCAATAAAAAGGACAAAGAGAAAGCAAAAGAATGAAAAGTGAAAGTATAAAAACTACTTTTTTCACTTTTGTTATAATTAAATATAATAGATCAGGGGTCACCAATCTCGCTCCTGGAGGTCCGGTGCATTGCAGGATTTAGCTCCAGCTTGCCTCAACACACCTGCCTGGGTGTTTCAAGTATACCTAGTAAGACCATGATTAGCTTGTTCAGGTGTGTTTGAATATGGTTGGAGATAAAATCTGCAGGACACCAGACCTCCAGGAACAAGCTTGGTGATCCCTGAAATAGATGTTATATGTTAAATATAAAAGAAAAAAAAAGAATAAAGCACTTCAATTCAATTCAGGTTTATTTGTATAGTGTTTTTCACAATTAATATTGTTAAATTACTGTCAAAATGAAAAATGTTAAGGAGCTGTGTATAGGGTCGGCAGTACTGTACATAAAAACATAGGTAACCAGCGGTTATACATTATAAAGAAAAAAGGCTGAATTAAAGTAAAAATGTAAACATGAGAATGTGAAAACAAGTGTAAAAGAAAATGTTTTGTAAGGTAAAGAGCAAAAGAAAACAGTGTAAATAAAATGAAAAATCTAAAGAGAAAAAGAATATGTATTTATTAGTTTGTAAAAGAAAAAAAAAACAATTCTTAAGAGCTCAAAGGAAAGAGAACTAAAAAACTAAAAAGTGAAAAAGAAAAAGCATAATGAAGTATTTTAATCTTTAATCAACAAAATATTATTATATTTAATCTAAAACAAAAACAATTCAGACTAAAAGCAATTCAGTTAGATGACCTCTAAACTAATATTTATTTGACAGCAAATTCTGTAACGTTGTGAAAAGAATAAATGGGAGAAAAAAATTAAAAAGCAAAAAGAAAAAAAGCAAAATTATATATTGTTACGTCCTGAGACGTATCGTTCTTCTTCTCTCTCTCTCTCTGTCTCTTTCTCTCTCCCTGCAGGTAACTGTGTCCACCTGGTAGCGATCATTGGATCTTTCTAGTGATTGGCTGTTGGGAGAGGAGAGAGAATATTTAACCCAAACTGCACTTCAAACCAGTGTTGGTGGTGGCTAGAATGTGCAGTGGCTAAGCGCTTCTCCACATACAGACCTGTTGTTTGTTAGCGCTATAAAGATTTGATTTGACTTAAATAGCTCCTGTGTGGCAAAGCTATTGGAGTCAGACTTCTACTTTCAATGATCTTCTTGTTAACATCTAATAATTCACCCAGAGAAGTGAGTCTGGTTAATTTGTTTATTTTGAGGGTTAAGGTGGGTGCCATTTTGTTTGAAATCAGTTTTCTCCTGTTTATGTTAGTAAAGGTAGTTAGTTTTTTTTATTTTTTTTTATTTCAGATTAGCAAAAGATTATATTAGGAGTTAGCTTGTTTTTGTTTGTTGTTTTGGCCTTGCCCCCTTCTGAATTAATATCGTGTTTTCTTTGTTATATTTTTATGTGTGTAAATAAACTTCTCTTTCTCTTGATTTGATCTTGTGTTTAAGTTTCTAGCCATTCTGTTTAAGGAGATGAGTTCTCTCTCTTATTTTCCAGCCATTGAACATCATCCATCACCAATTATGTATCGCCCACATATATATATATATATATATGGCGACGCAGTCGGTAGTGCTGTCGCCCAACAGCAAGAAGGTTGCTGGGTCAAGCCTCGGCTCTGTTGGTGTTTTTGTGTGGAGTTTGCATGTTGTTCTCCCTGCGTTTGCGTTGGTTTCCTCCGGGTGCTCTGGTTTCCCCCACAGTCCAAAGACATGTGGTACAGATGAATTGGGTAGGCTAAATTGTCCGTGTGTGTATGTGGACGTGCTGGATGAGTTGGCGGTTCATTCTGCTGTGGCGACCCCGGATTAATAAAGGGACTAAGCCGACAAGAAAATAAATGTATATGTATTTATTTATTTCCCAAATGATGTTTAAAAGAGCAAGGAAATTTTCACAGTATGCCTGATAATATTTTTTTCTTCTAGAGCAAGTCTTATTTGTTTTATTTCAGCTAGAATAAAAGCAGTTTTAAATTTTTTAAAAAACATTTTAAGGTCAAAATTGTTAGCCTCTTTAAGCTTTAAAATCTAAAAAAATTCCAATAAGTCCACAGTCTAAAACCAATGTTGTACAATAACTTGCCTAATTACCCTAACTTGCCTGGTTAACCTAAATCCTTTAAATGCCACTTTAGGCTGTATAGAAATGTCTAGAAAATATCTAGTCAAATATTATTTACTGTTCCCCTACGGTTGGGGAACTTCAGTGCTATACAGTGGATTTGATCTTGGGAAAATCCACCTATGGGAGGTTTTAGTTCAGAAGCCTCCCATACGTGTCTTGTCTGAAAGAGTATTGAACGGGCCAATGAATGAATAAATTGGCAGCGTAAGCTTGCACAGGTGTGCTTCATAGCCAATTATCCCAGCATATAAGCACACCTGGAGCGAGCAAACGGCATCCTTTTTGCTTCAGAGACTTTCTGATCGAGTCGGTGATGGTTCCTCCTGCTGTGATCCAGCGATTCCGAGCGAACGAGAGCATTCTCCCGGTCCAGAGTGTGTACACGCAGCGGCAGACGGTCGAGCTGGGGTTTTCCTGCTCCTCTATGCGCTCCATCCAAGCTTCGGGCGCGGGAAGCGATCCGTCTAACAGATGGTAGCCCTTACGCCTGATGACACTGGAGACCAGACGTCCACCGCGGCATCGGAGGGTGGGCTTTCATTGTCCGATGATGATCCAGACCCGCTCGCCCCCTCCGGGCAGGTGAGCGCTGTCACAACGGATCCTGAAACGGACATGTTAGCCGTGCTTTCCTGGGCTGCTTCGGCCGTGGGTTGGAGATGGTTTATCCCCCAGCTCTGCGGCCAGACCGACTAGAGGGGCGTTCCCTTCTTCCCGGAGGTGCACAGTAGGCTCACGCGGTCTTGAAGGGCACTTTTTTTCTGCTCGTGCTGTGTGTCCCTCCACCCTCAACACTCTTGACGGTGGAACAGCCAGGGGGTATGTGGCGATTCCTCAGGTTGAGTGCGCGATGGCGGTCAATCCGCGCGGCTCCTCTCCTTGGCGGGGTCCGCCTTGTCTCCCATCCAAAGCCTGTAAGTTATATGCCTCCCTCGGAGCTAGAGCTTACAAGGCTGCGGGCCAGGCTGCTTCTGCCTTGCATGCAATAGCCACCTACCAACGCTACCAAGCGCAGGCGCTGGCCGAGCTGCACGAAGGTGGGTCCAATCCAAGCTTACGAGCTTCGAACCGCCGCCGACTTAACTCTTCGGACTACTGAGTCCGCTGCGTGTGCGTTTGGGAAGGACGATGTCCACATTAGTGATCCAGGAACGCCATCCCTGGCTGATATGCGCGAAGTTTACAAAGTCCGCTTTCTTGACTTCCCCATATCCCAAGCCATGTTCGGCGACACCGTCTGTGAATTCACCCAGGAATTCAAGGCGGTGAGAGAGCAGTTGATGGGTGATATCTTATTGGCGGTCCATAGCCCGCTCCGCCCGCCGTGCCATTCATACCTGCTCCTCGCCGAAGGCGCCCGCCTACGAGAGCTGCACCGCCCCCTCACACGCCTCTGGCGAAGCGAGCACGTCGAGCACCTCGGAAGCAGGCAGCCCCCCCGGCCCAGAACGCCGCTAAGTCCGGCAGCGGACCGCGAAGTGTCCCTGAGACAGGCCATCTTGAGAAGAGGGAACTTGCTCTTTCCCCGCTGGAGGGCGGGGCCCCATTTCCAACGGCACTTTTTACTGCCATGAAAACATCATGAAAGAGCACTTTTCCACTTCCCCGGATGTGACAGCCCGAAATCTGCCAGTCTGGGACGCTATGCTTTCTAGCTTGCAGATTCGGTGCGTTTCGCTAGTGGCTCACGAGCCCTGGGAGGACGGTCTCCTTTCAGACTCGGCTATGCGATCCAGTCCGCGAAATGGCCCCCCCAAGTCACGAGTGTGTTCACCAGGGTCAGCCCCCTGTCCGCCCCTGTCTTGCGAGAGGAGATTGCTGTCCTCCTGGCGAAGGATGCAATCGAGCCGCTCCCTCCAGCCGAGATGGAGAGCGGGTTTTACAGCCCACACTTCATTGTGCCCAAAAAGAGTGGTGGGTCACGGCCAATCCTAGATCTGCGCGTTTTGAACTGCTGTCTGCACAAGCTGTCGTTCAGAATGCTCACGCAGAAGCGCATCCTCCGGTGCGTTCGTCCTCTGGGTTGGTCTGCAGCATTAGACCTGATGGACGCGTATTTTCATGTCTCCACTCTTCCTCGCCACCATCAGTTTCTGCTGTTTGCGTTTGAAGGTCGAGCTTGGCAATACAAAGCCCTCCCCTTCGGTCTCTCTCTGCCTCCGCGGGTCCTCACCAAGCCCGCGGAGGGTGCCTTAGCGCCCCTTCAGCTCGCGGGCATCCGCATACTCAATTTTCTATTTACAGGTGTGAAAGTACTCTAAAATAAATCCAAAGCAGAGCAGTAATAAAACATTAAAGCAACAAGAAAGCAAATAGAGTCAAAGCAAAAGTAAAAGTATAAAAGAAAGAGAAACTAAAAAACAAAAAAGATAGAATGAACAAGAGAGAAAGTGATACGGAGAGGGGGAAAAAAAAAAGTCGACCTGTCCAGAGATGCTGCAGTGTCGCTCTGACTGGAGCTCTCAGGCATATTTTCATAAAGGATCTTATTGGACTCAATGAAGTTCTTCTGCATGGCCGACATCTGAGCCATGATCTTCCGTCGGTGCGCTTTAGCAGCCTCAGCTTTCCTCTTCTGCTCTTTATCCTGAACGCTCTGAGAGAAAGCACACACTTTAAACACCTCAGAGACACAGGAGCATTAAGACTGAGGGTCCCGTACAAATTTGTGCATTTATACCTCCTCTGCTTTGCTGTGATCCATAGCGAATGAAGCGGCAGGGCTGGATTTCTCCCGAAGACACTTCACCACCTCAAACATCTTACAAATACAGACATTCGGGTTTTAAATCTTCAATAAATGAATCAGGTTTACATCAAATCTTCATCTGCATACCTGCAGGTTCCATGCGATCATGTCTTTCAGAACTTTCAGAGAAGGTAAAGACTTCATTTTGGTCAGGAAGTGGAGCAAGGATTTGCCTTGTTCAGAACCAGTTTCTGAAAAGAGAAATGTATCTGGATAAATTCAAATATATCTGGGAAATAGAAATATATCAGGAGAATAAAGCATTAACAGTAGAGTTTCACATATATTGAAATAAAATTATAATGTGGCTCAGGGTGAATTATCAAAAATCAAATGCTGTGATCAAATAATTGTAAATATTGTTTATTTATCTAAATAAAAACATATTCATTTGTGTTCTTTTTTTTAAGTTTGAATAATTTTGAGTTAATTTATGTATTACTGTTATCATAATAGTGTTTTTATCATTATTCTATTTTTATTTAAATTAAAAATGTAAACCTTGAAAAATAGGCATAATATGAATGGGTCATTCTTCAACAACGAGCACTTTCAGCCTTGTGAAGTAAAAAAAAAAAAAAAACTTGTTCAAATTTAATGTAACAGCCTCATAAGCTTAAACAATTTGTCTAGTTTTAAGACCTGTAAGAGGACAAACTTAGATAAGAAGAAAAACATTTGTGGACTGCACAAATGTCAATTCCACAACATCTCAATATAGGGCTTTTATTTTAAAACGAAATAAATTATGTCAGTCAAACATTGTCTAAGTTCATTTTTTTATCTAGTTCAACCAATCTTTCCATGATATATATTATAATATATACATATATTATACATTTGTCAATGAAATAAATGAGTGGTATGCTGACTTGTACACCTGTCACACTCTAAAATTTCAGATCAATTTGGTTCAGAGCTCATAAGAAAATAAATAAACTGAATTTGTATAATAAATAGAGCATGAACTAATACATTGTGATGACACTTAAAATGTGTGATAAAAACTTTAAAAAAAATTATATATATATATATAT